GGCACCTTCAGATTCAAAAATGGGTATAGGCAAATATTAGTTAATTTTCCATTTGGTAAATGTAACCTGTTAGTAGAATTTTCAGGCCTCTCCAGTAAATTGAAAGTATTTTTCTGTGCTTGTTAGGTTAGTTGAGAGTTCAGTTCATCATTTTGCTTGTGTCTGAAAAAGTATGGGTTCTTTATGTGTGGACTGTGCTTCTGTTAAAAATAAGACCTACTTATCCAATAAAGAACTTGCGCAATGTTCAAAACTAAAAATTAACATAGTCTATGAGAAGCCATGCTTAGATAAAATTGGTGGACAAATATTTGGATTCATTTTTCATTTGGAAAATGAGACCCAGTAGAAGTTTCAGGCATCCCCAGTGATGTAAAGTTAATTTGTAAAAAATTGCTGTGTTTCATGAGCCATTATCTGAGGTGGATGCAAATTTGTTGAGGCCTTAATTTCCTTCTGCTTTAAAATAACTGCTAGCACAGTTGTCTTGTATCAGATAGAAAATTGTGTTTGTCAAACGCAGCAGCCATCATCAACAGAAAGGAGTAAAAAAATAGTTTTAATTTGGAACTTGCATAAAAGTATCTTCATGGGGTTTATTTTAGAATTACCAGTCCACCTGAAGACTTCTCACACTATGTTGATGAATTTATATTAATAGAAAAATCAGTTCTGGAAGAATTTTTAGGCATGGCAGGAACTCTCAACTGCAGCCATCATCAGGTTTTTGACACAGAAGGAGGCATACCATATTTTTGAGGGAGCACAATACTTTACATTAGTGCATTGATTCAATGTTAACATGCCTATGTTAGCTTTTCTGACTACAGCCTAAATTTTAAAATATCTTTTTTTGAAATTCAGACTTCAGTATACCATTTGACATTTCCAAACTTCCTGTATACAGTTGAGCTGACTCTGTTTGAATATTTTGACAACTGCAGCAGCCTTCCTTCACACTATGCATTCTCAGAAAGTTTCAAAAAGTTGGACCAAATCTTATTGAAATTCCAGAAATATCAAGCATAGGTGCCTTTGAAAGTACTCAGCATGAGCTTTTCTATGTTGCCATGGTTTCTTATTTTGTGGAAAATATTTTTCCGTGTGGAGAAAGAAGCCGATTTTTATATTCTAATAGTGTGGCGATAGTCCTGGTAGTTTTTTAAAATGGAAATTGTAGTTTTTTTGCTATGAGTCTGTTCTAAAAAAAAGAGCGAGAAAAAACATGTGTTCAGACTATTGTCTCACACAACAAGATCAACTCACTGTGAACTGATGACTGCCTGTGTGCTTATTGTTCTCAGTTTTGAATGATTTTGTGTTGAGTTGTGTTACGGACTAACAAAAGTATTAAATGTAGCTTGTCGTTGGGTTTTTTGCATGTTGAAAGCTGTTTTTGCTTGCATGACAGGTCATGTATTGAAATAAAACTATTGATATTTTATGTGTTTCAATTCTTTTAATGATAATTCACTTTGTATTCCACTGTATGCTGATGGGAATGCTATTGTTGAGACTTTGATTGAACTGTTTTATGAGGATATTTTGAGCAAGATCTATCCATTTTAGAAAATATTTCTAGAGTCAATTTATATTTATTCAAGGATTCATTGCTGTCAACAGATTGCTGGTGTCAAATTATTTTTTGACCCAATCTATATTTTTATGATGGAAAATTTCCTTCACATTTTTAGGAAACAGTACTGTTCTATAATGTACTGTATAAATGCTATATACTGTATTGCCATGAAAATCAAGTTCCGAGTCAGAAAGAAAAATTATAGAGTTTTCTAAAGTTTAATTTTGTGGTATCTGCAATCTATGCTTTAGTCCCATTAAGTTCAATTGTTAGAAGGGATTCACCTTATGTAAACACACATAAATTTTTCCATGCATTGGAATTTTATGGAGACAATCTTTTTTCTGTATACTGTACAGCAGTACAGTAAAATCATCGTAGGGGTGGTTACAAAGGAACTTGGGAGGACATGGTACCAGAAAATTGTGTCATTCTGTAGAAGGGTTCCAAGTAATCTCCATACTTGAGATTCAGTTGAGTCTGATATTTTCCGATCACCAACTTGATTTCCCGAATAATTTTATTTTTGAATTCATGTTGGGTTTATATTTTGTACAAGAAAGGTGTCATTACTGTATAGGAAGCCTACAACCACTTAATGTTGTGGTTCTCTTACCTCTGGAAGTTCTTCCTGCGTTTCTGGCTCGAGTTACTGTTTCACTTCGGAATGCGGACGTGAAGCTGATATCGATGGCTTTCATGGGAAAGAGATTGTCTTCGAAATTACGAAATGTGTGCGGCTTATTCCAGGGAAGTCTTCTCGAAGAAACGGAAATACTGTGCACGTTGATTTCGTCGACGATGATGAACGTTCCTGATCAGTCTTGTTTTTCAGATCTATTATACCTAATAAATTGCGTGTTTAAGTGTATTTTCTCGGGCGTTGGTGTTGCGCGATGGCCACACGAAGATTCACCAAGTCAGCCGTTGACTGGGCCGCTTTGTACGAGCGTGTGCCTTCAAATCAGAAGACCAATTTGGCTGCCTTCCGGAACAAATCCGAGACGTACATGCGGAAGTAAGTCCTTGTGTTTGAGATGCTCTGAAGTATGTACTGTAGTCCGTATGTGTAGCTACAACATAATCTGAAATCCAGTTCAACGATTGGATGTGGGAAGTGTTAATCACTCTGTTGATCTTGGTCCGCCTGGCATGATGCTAATCGACGTGATCTGAATCATTTCAGGTTGCTTGCATTTCCGGAGAATCCTCCGAAAATCAACTGGGACATGTACAGACAGTCCATTTCAGTCCCAGCATTCGTAGACGCTATGAAGCAACAGTATGAATCCGTGAAGGTACCATATCCTGCGGATAAATACACTGCCGACGTGGCTGCTCAGGAGAAGGAAGCGGTAAGACAGCCTTATTCTTTCACGAAAGAACATTGTGTTGATTTGGGTATTGATATTTCAAGGAGGAATCAACTGTGAAATTCATCAAGGACTCGAATGATAGGATCACCATTTACCAGAACGAACTGGCGATCTGGGACGATATGATTTCCTTGGAGGAGATGACTGAAGAAGACTTTTTGGATGCGTTCCCTCAAATAGTAAGTTAATTTGCGAAATCTTCCGAAAAAGAAATGGTACAAATATATGTTTGATCATTATTAGGCCATTAATCCGGAGAAGCCTTCGATTTGGCCGCATGAGCCTGAATATCAGCCAGGTTACGTTGACAAAGAGGCTGCGGATGACGACCATCATTGAATTCAGCGAATGTGAACGTGTAGCCTGTGGAGAAAATTGATCACCCTCGTTGTAGAAACTTCGATTTGAACGGGATTTTATCTCATTTCTTTTAGTGCAATCTTTAATTCTTCAATTGCTGTTGCTATTCATCCGTCAAGCAGTCGAAATACGACGTTTCTGTAAAGATTTTGTGTTGGATTATTTTCGAGGGAGATTCCGAAGCTGAATAGATGAAGGCGTTTCGGAGCTTGGTGCGTTCATTTATATCTGCGAATCTCGTAATTATTCTCTAAAATTCGAGTACTGACCTTAAATCCAGGTCAGTACTCAATTGGATGGAAGAATGATGGTGAAATTCTGGCACTATAGTTCATGAAAGGTGATCCACCCTGGACCTGCAGAGCATCGGGCAACAGTGAAATCTTCGGGAAATGGTACTAAGTATTCTATGGAAGACATCTACGCCTACGGGAGTGATGAAGATCTGCTCTGTTCAAAACCAGAATATCCAGCAACAAATTTTGTCCGGAGTGCAGAAATTTTGTAGGTACAGTATCTTCTGCTCTTTCAATCAAAATTTGTGCTACGTACCTGTCCAAATTTTCCGGAGACACACATACAAGATAGTCTTGGAATTTCTGTAAATTTCAAGTAGTCCTCATCGCAGGATTGAAGTGCATGGGATTATTATTATCACCGCAGGAAATTTATTTCAGGTCCAGGAAAAATAAGAACATGATCTAATCTGCATCAGGAGGATTTTTCGCAAATTTGGGTGCTGTTTTATCGACTTATATTCCTGCTATAGCATTGGATCTCAATACTGCTCCCTGTCTTGAAAATTCCTGGGTTGCATTGGGCTACAAGCTTTCACGTCCCCAATGATGCAGATGTGCATAAGACCCCTAATCTTGTTAAATTGAAGGAAGAAACCTGCTTATGTCCATATTGCCCGACCACCAGATGGCAGGTAGAGTATTTTGCCTGATTCCCAAGAGTTGGAGGAGCAGTGTTGCTGGATATGAGGGGCTTGAGAGGTGGGAGTGCTTCTATTTGCAGTGTAGATGTCACGCGCATTTCACCCCCTTCAATCCTTCGTAGATGACGCTTGTAGCGAGCATCAGTGTACAAGGGGTGGTTTCTTGAACTAGTGCCTAATTATCTCCGCCCCCTCGTTGTGAGAAGGCGTTNATTTGCAGTGTAGATGTCACGCGCATTTCACCCCCTTCAATCCTTCGTAGATGACGCTTGTAGCGAGCATCAGTGTACAAGGGGTGGTTTCTTGAACTAGTGCCTAATTATCTCCGCCCCCTCGTTGTGAGAAGGCGTTGTCGAAAGTCTGGTCTCCATGAGCGCAGCCATTTGTGCTTCGGCTAGTCATTTCCGGCGGACCAGTGAGTCCCTGCTGCCTTCCATTTAAACGCTTCGCGCCCATTTCTGTCTTCGGCCTCTCCAACTCGCCCCGATACGCCTTGGCGGGAACTCGGGCCGCAGNCTCCATGAGCGCAGCCATTTGTGCTTCGGCTAGTCATTTCCGGCGGACCAGTGAGTCCCTGCTGCCTTCCATTTAAACGCTTCGCGCCCATTTCTGTCTTCGGCCTCTCCAACTCGCCCCGATACGCCTTGGCGGGAACTCGGGCCGCAGGATTTTAATTCGCGCCCCAGCCGTTGAATGCGCGCGTCTTTTCACTTGTTCCGGCTGAAGTCGGTTTAAATTCTTTTAAATCACGAGATCATTCAGTGATTAAATGAATGTTGCCTTTGTTCTCTTCTGAAAAAAATGTTCACTTCCAAAATTGGGAATTGAATTTTCGTTGTGTGACTATTCTCCGGTGGAATTTTCTCGTTCACGGCGCGAGGAACGAACCTCTTGAGAGATACCGGCGATTTGCTTTGTTCTTTTCGAAGATGTTGTTTTATACGTGGATTTTCGAGTTTCATTTACGCTTTTATGTGGAAACATGCATGTTAAATTTCATCTTCAATAATACTCACTGCAATAAAATCTTCTGTTCTGTACCTGACAGACATTCCATTCGCGCGAAGACAGACTTGGTGATCAAGTTCTCGACCGTGAATCAAATTATCTGTTGTGGGATCTTCCCTGAGTATTTTTAGTGCATTTCCTTGATTGTGACGTAAGGAATGAACCTGCTAAGAGATATAAGCATAGTTTTACATATTAATGATTGATATCAGCGTCGGAGTAATTTAATTTCGGTGTGATCATGCGTGTTAGTAAACGCTGTAAAATTGAATTCACAGCCATATACTCCTTCTAGTGTAAAGCGGAACTTTTCTAGTTTGAGAAGGCTTTTTGCACTAGCTGTTGAAGCGTCCTCGTGACAATTCGTGTTATGGTTGAAGGAGTCCACCTTCCTTTGCAAAATGAATTTGATTATTAAGAGATTGTGCTGTATTTTTTTTTAAATTATATTTCTCTTGCAGGCGAATGTGTTATTCCTTCCCAAGACGATGTCCCTTTCGTACCTTGAGAACTACGAAGCAGTGGAATACGGCCGTTTCGGAGACCTTTTCGCGAGTCCTAATATTCTTCAGGTTTCCAGCAGCTCCCACGACCACAGCTTTAACCAAGACGATGAGCAACTGGTGTACAACGACAGTCCGAATCAGCATTCAGTGACCCCGAAGAGGTCAGATCTTCAACGAGGGCGTCCGAGAGCAGATGCCATCACGAACTTGATAATCAAGGGATCGAGTTCAAAGAGCAATATCAAATGTCCTGTTTGCACTCGCGTTTTTCCGCGGGAGAAGAGCCTTCAAGCCCATCTCCGTACTCACACAGGTGAGATTTCACTTGAAATCTATTCGAATCCATGTTATGCACCGAAATCTTGTAGCCAATGAAATAATTGAGGAATTTTGAAATGAAAAGTTTTGTGAGGAACTGGCAGTCTTCGATACTTCGAAAGATTCTCTATTGAATACACTGGATATTTTTTTCTTTGAATTTGTTGATTAAAATAATTTGTCCCCCGAATCTCATTGCCTATATTACTGTGCTTCTTCAGACGTGTTTCTGAGCCTTGTCTCTGATCTTCAATTATTGTCTGCCGACTTTTTCGAATGTCTGATTCTAGTTGTAAATTTCGTGTGTTAAGATCATATTTCGCAGTGCGGACGATTGTTATTCAAGATCCGGAAGCTTTTCTCTGCGTGCCTATCTCTACGTCATCCTTTTTCAACATCCTGTGATTGTAATTTCGAAATTGCTTTTCCTGTAGGTGAGAAACCATATACATGTGATTACCCGAGCTGCACGAAATCCTTCGCACAAAGTGGACAGCTCAAGACCCACCAGAGACTACATGCGGGAGAGAAGCCCTTTTGCTGCACCGTGACGGGTTGTGACGTCAGGTTCACCCACGCAAATCGCCATTGTCCTCAACACCCTCAAGCTGGTCTCAAGCGCTCCAAAGACGTGGTTCTTCAGCCCACGATTTCCTCAGGCCAGAACCGGGAGGAGGTCTTGGTATGGCTCGAAAAGTGAGTGAATTGATCATAAATCAGCGAATGAGAGGCTTCAGGTGTATCGCGTATTTCGCTGATAGCGTAAACGCGACTCTTGTTAGTCCTACGCTTGGAACCGCGCCAAGAATCTCCCATTGAGATTTCAGTTTCGAACATGACCTTCAATTCGCGAGCCTGTTACGAAGCATACTTCTTGTTGACTCACTTATCGTCGTATTCGAATCGAACAAATTTTTGTGTTACCTACTGTTATCCGAGTTTTGGAGAAAGGCAAACTTAGATAACATTTTCGTGCATTGAAATGAGTTTAAGATGTGTTCCCTTGGTTATCCTGAATTCGAACTCACATATCAAGTGATCTTATATTTTTTTGTACTGCGAAACCTCTTGAAATTCGACGCATTTGACATTGAGAGGTTTGAATTACCGAGGTTGAACTGTAAAACTTGGGATTGAATGGAACTGTCGTTGAGTGAGCATCTGAAGTTTTTCATCCAACGCCCCGAAGGTTATTTGCTGATTCTGAAGTACTGTACTGCACACTTTTCTGTAGTTTCCACGTGTTTTCAAGGTAGAATTTCTGACTGTTATTTGATTCGGTTTCATTTTACTTCTCAAGGTATCGCCAAGAAAGAGAGTTGAGCAACGCCTTCGGAGACAAATCGGATGCGGAAAACGAGCCTGGTGTGATCTGCACAACCCCAGCGGCACCCCGGAAACTGAAAAGCCGGAAAGAAGACATGAACGAGAAATTCTCTTCTTGTTTCACTCCACCACGCTCAAAGCCACAAGACGCGGAAAACATCCCGCAAGAAAACTCATCAACTCCGGTCAGATTAGACCGCAAACGCTTGCCTCTGTCCCCACTCAAGATAAGCTCCAACAACGCGAACCAAGTGCCTGCTGACGAACGCAAATTCTGCATGCCGAAAAAGCGCTGGCTTCGAGAAGCCAGTCGGCAAATGGCGCAACAGATATCCAACACGGTGGTGAAGCAGGAAATCAAATTCGACAGTGACGCGGAGAACAATGCTCTGTGTAATTTGCCGTCTTTCTCTACGACTTTCGGGGGATACGATGTTATCCCTGCCCCGATTCAGCCGCCCATTAAGTGCGAACCTGTGACTTTGAATAGAGAGTGGATGTCGCCGGATCCGAACAAGATGCTCGGTGCCATGGCCCTTGTCGAACTCGGGACTCAAGCGGTTTCTGAAGAGTTCCCCTTGAACCTGAGTGTTCCCAGCTACCAACCCTGAGATCTGTGCAAAGGCGGAACGCCATGTTTCTGCTCCCGTTTCTTTGTTTGCGAAAGAGCGTTGTTGTGTTTGACAGAGCCTTCATTATATGAAGTGAAGTGGTACCTCGTGTCATCTTTGGGTCCAATATGCGCTTCAAAACTTGAGGTTTTATATTTTAATTTATAGGTTGAGAAGTGACACGAAGTTTGCAGTAATGGAATTCCAGTTAAACTACGAGATCTTATTTTTCCTGAAACTTCTCCCCATAATCTTTTTAATTGAGCAGGATGAAGAAGATGGCTAGAGAGGAATGCAGAATATTTCTGATGAAAGTAATGTAAATGTTGGATACTAAATGAACAGTGTAATTCATGGAGATTATAACGGGAAATTCTTCAAGAATTAAACTTATGGTTAGAAGCATTTTCACCTATTACGCGAATAAAAGCATCATCAAGCTCATAGGGTGTTGCCGTATTCAAGCTGTTCAACAAATTTTGAACCATTGATGGTTCCTTTCGAGTTAATTGAGATACCAATCGACTAATCCGAGTTGAAAAATTGAACATTGATGCATCAATCAAATTCTCCCATGAGAGGGAACATGTTCTGTGAGAGGTGGTTTAATATTATGTTTGAGACTGCTGAACCAAAACTTCGAGGCGTCTGGAAATATTTGAATGAAAGTCATGTGTAAATGTGCGAGACGAGGAAAATTCGCTGTTTTGTTTATTTCTATTTCATTTAATGTTTCTGGGACTAGTCACTCGCTTTTATGTTTCTTTCCTGATTGATGTATTACCCGATTTGTGCCCAAGCTTCTGCATTTTTTTGTGTAATGAAGATGATTTTGATGCGATGAAATTTTCGTTTTTATTATTCTCTTTTTTCTATGCTTTCCAGGAAATTTGCGGAGAACTTTCATTTGTGTAAAAATATTTTAATTTTATTGAAGGATGCAATGTGATTATTCAAACTCTAGCGTAAAAATATATTTACTGTACTTCGGGACGATCGAAGTGCCGTCATAGATAAAGTTGTATGGGTTGCGCAAGAATCTCGTTAGCAAATGAGAAAAGCACTCAATTTAGAAAAATATAGTAATTACTTTGGTACTACATACCGAAGTAAAATGCAAACCTCAAATTTTGTGGGTGGAATTTGCCCAAAAATGTGCCCTCTGGGCTCTGGCATGATGTACACCCCCACTTTTTTGGATTCAAAATATAGTTTACTGAAATAAAAGTATTGGACAAAATAATGCCTTACGTACAAAAAGTACTTCAAAATAAGAGGACTTTGAAATGGTTGGTGCCATGTAGACTTTCCTTTTTGTGATTTTCAACTCCAGTGGCTCATTTAAGGTTTCCACCACTGTGGGTGATGCAAGATTTTCCCCTTACTTCAAAAAACGTATGTCCTCATACCACAAGCAGCCCAATGTCTGCCTTTATTTTGCAGAAAAATGATGTGCAAGGTAGATACATACTGGGTACATACCTTACTTAAAATAGGATAAACATGTCAAATGCAGCACAGTACAGTATTTGGAAATACTGTACTCCCGTAAAGTGGGCCAGCCAGATCACAAGTTGCCCGATTTGCTGGTTTTCAACCAGAACATTGCTTAAATTTCAATTTCGTAGATGTCGTACATGGAATTCGAGAAAATACTTTATTACATTTTCCATAGAGGTCGCTGTTGCATGACGTTCAGCGGGTGCGGGGCGGTAACAATGCTGCAACATCCTGACTTATTCCCGGATATTTTCATCGGCTGCTCTAATCCCTTCGTCCGCGATGGAAACTGTTGAGCGTATATTGAACAGAAAACAGTATGCCCTTGATTTCTCACAGATTTAGTCATTCACCATGGAAAATCGCGCGCTTTGAGCATAAAGTCAGTGAAGTGGGAACTGTTTCCCGGTTATAATTGATCGTGATTTACCGACTTAACCGTGTTCCAGAAATTTCAGCCGGAATATTCTAAAAAAAAGTCGGACCCTACGCGATATGGGACAATTTCCACGCGTAAGTACCCCTTACGGCCTAGGAATGATACATTTTTCATGCATTGTTGAATCGCAGTTCCCATGCCCTTATCTTCGCGTATTTCGCTCCGTTCCGCGGAATGTGATTAAAATTTACATCGGGATATTACATTCTTGTGCAGTGGTGAACAACGTCGTCATATTTTCGTGTGCTCGTAGGAATTGACAAGAATATTAAAAATGATGCCCTGGAATTTCAGCTTAGTTCTTTGATACAAGTGAAATTATACGAAACTCTCTTTCAGATGGCTCAGCTTCAAATTATGAGTGTCGCTCGTTTGACGGCACTCCGTCAATTATGTAAAGCAAGTTTGCCTATGTCTTCAGCAATTCGAAATGTTAAAACAACTCCAGGACAGAAAGACATTGCTTCTCAGCTGCCGGAGTCTAGGATCAACGCATTCGAGAAACCTATTCTCCCCGATCTGACCGACGAACAGAAGAAGGCAAGATAGTGTTCTTCTCCTATTCGTATTTGTGTTTTGAAATCTCGAATTTTTGACAGAATTGGATTTGTTATGGCTGGGATCGCTCAGACAAGGATGCCGACAGGGCCGCCATGCACGTGTCTTTCTTCGGTTTCTTCACACTTGTTGTTGTGGGTTCAGGCCTGATTATCGCTTATGGCCCAGATTACAAGTACGTTGTCACTGAAGGTGTCTGACCTACCCAGGATTTCATTTTCCCTTTGCTGCATTTCGAGTAATTCATGATAGAAGTCGATTTTGTCAACCCTTCTTTACAAATGAGGGTTAATGAGGTAGCATTGGGGTCGCTATAGTGAGTTGGTAACCTTTTTTCTCTGGTATTGTTCACTCCACTAACGTGTGTCTTCTCAATCAGGAAAGTTCCTCGTCACGGTATCCGCGACTTCAAGTGTGGAATGTGGATCATAGTTTTTTAGTAACATCATTTCCTATTCGCACATTACACAGTGGCTGTGGTTCACTTGACGGAGAGGCATTTTTGAAATTGTGGATCAATTTTTGCTCATTAAAATTTTGCAGGCTTAAAGACTGGGCGCAGCGAGAGGCCTACCTGGAGTTGAGACGACGAGAAAAGCTCGGACTTCCCCTCATCAGTCCGGACTTGATTGACCAGAAGTACCTAATTATCCCAAGCGAAGAAGACCTTGGTGATACCCCGATCATCATTTAAGTCAGTTGAACAGTGTCTAGGCGAAGTGTGATGCCCGTGTATTTCTCATCATAGCATGTCCTCTTTGTCTATGATAGTGCTAGTGGATGAACGTGCGCTCTACTTGTATTCTGCAGTGTCCAATTACTGATGAATTTCAATTACCGGTCACGTCTCAAATTCTGAATGCGTTTGATTTCGTAAAGAGATTGAAATCCTGGATGGGTCGCTTCGTGGGGATGACATTTTGCATTGCGTAATGAACGATTAATGTAAACGGAATTCGAAATTCACTCTACGCAGGATCCCAATTTTCTTCAGCATTGGTGTCGTAAATCAGTTCATTTTTTATCATGCTTCTTTGAAAACGAGACATCCTTCGATTTATGGACCCCATTTATTTGTGAGCTTCGATTTCTAAACTAACATCTCAGGATTATAGAAATTTGTTCTTCGAATAAATGGAACTCGGAATATCTGTTCATCCTGATTTCATGAACTGATACCGGAGCTTAAAATGATATTTGAGAAAGAAAAGTTCGATTCGGATCGATTTGACATTCATAGTTTCTGGTGTTCATCGATTGAAATCCGACGGAAATATTCATGTCCATCGTCAGCCCGAAAAAATTGAGAACAGACCGCGAGAATAAAACCGAGTTCTTGTTTCTTCGACGATAATACAGTAATTGGTGACGTCTTATTTTTGGGGAGGCATGGAAATGAAAAAAAAAAGTTATTCGAACTTCTGAAGTTCAGACCTTGAGATGAACCGTGCGAATAAGTGCATATAAGAACCGTAAGCAGGACCGAATTGAGTTCATATTTTTGTAGGAAGTGCAATTGGTGGTATTGTGTGAAATGATTGAATAGTGCGAATTATCCGCAATGCCGAAACAACCCAAGAAATCCAACCTTGGAAGAGCGCTTGTCAAGGATAAGTTCAGCAAAAAGCGACATGATCGGGGAGAATCTATGGTGAGTTGATTTTAGTAGAGTACCCGAATTTAATTTTAGATTCCTTCCTTTCGAAGCTGTTGCGAAATTTGTCTATTTTTTGAGTCGGGAAGTTTTAACCCAAATGCGAAAATAACACCACATGTCATCAAAGTACAGTCTGACTTCAAGGGACCATAAAAAACATTCGAGATATGTAGTATTCGAGTTTGGGAAACAAGCATTTGTATTGGAGGAAAGAAAGAAAAGTAACAGGAAATTGTAATTGGTGATATTCTAGTCCTTTATTTGCATTTTGAATGAGTTGACAGGATGTTGAGCTTGGAGACAAGGGTTCATTTTCCGAATTTGTCATTCAAATTTTTTCAAAAAGCATGGAGTTACATTTTTATTGCTTTTCTCTTTCCTGTGTCAATAAAATATTAACCTAAAGCCCTCCAGATTTTTAAATGGAATTCGAGAAATCCTAGAATAAAGTATGAATATCGATTTCCTCCGAATACCGTTACAGTATTTAATTATTGTGTATTTCATTTATGAATCCACAGCTTCATGCCGCCGAACTCAAAGATGGAGCGGACTGGAATCGTCTCAATTTGCGCTCTGTTACCGAGTCCAACAACTTGGACGAGTTTCTCGCGACGGCGGAACTGGCCGGAACTGATTTCAAAGCTGCTCGACTCAACATGACTTTCATTCCCCCTTCTTCCAAGATCGGCGTGCTTTCATCGGAAGAAAAGGCTCAGCTTGCACAAAAGCACGAAGAAATGGCGTCGTGTCTTCGAATTCCGAGACGGTATAAATGTGCTCTTTATTGAGATATGCAAAGTTGGACGCGTGGCTCATAATAGGTTACGTTCGAATGCGAAATTGAGGTACTTTTTTTCGCGAATACAATGTTGTCTAGCTGGTAAAACAGTTGACTTGGAAATTTGAAAGCTCACTAAGATCAAAATCGTGTTGAAAACTTACTTCGAAGAATGGGCTACGAAATGTATCAATTTTAATTGTTAGTCTACAGTATCTTCAAAAAATATATACTGGTACTTCGTAATACGAAGCTGCTAATGAGGTCGCTTGCTTTATTCTTTTAGGAACTAAATCAATGTTGCATGTACTGTAGTACAATACTGTATTCTATGATCATTGTGTTGTTTCGAAAGCGGAAAACGAATCGGAGAAGAAACAATCTCTACGCTTCCTCAAAGTTGCCCTCAGTAATTTCAATTGCTCAGACATGCGAAAATTTTTAATGTGAGTTATTACGATTATATTCAATTTGGAGTTAATTTCTGAACCATTCCAAAAACTGGCGTTTTGCCTTTTTTTTTAAAGTCAAATTTGGATGTAAAATAGGTCTTCTGTGGTTCTTGCGTAAATAAGGTACAGTACCTGGTTTTATTGTTGACGAAATGTTAGGCTCCCTCTGAAGAGGACTGATTTGTATTCAATTTTTTTTAATTCGAAGTGGCAATTTTGTGTTTATTCAGGCCTGCTTGGGATGCCTCTACAACGCCAGAAGAACTCGACATGTTGGAGAGAGAATCTTTCCTCGAATGGCGTCGTCGTCTGGCAGAAATCGAATCTGGTCCCGATGGCGTTATTTTGACTCCATTTGAGAAAAATCTGGAGTTTTGGCGTCAACTTTGGCGCGTCGTGGAAAGAAGGTCAGTTTGACCCGAGAAGTTGTTGCTCATTATTCCTGGATTCATCTTTTTTTTTATCTTTTTTTTTACATCTTTAGTTTTACCGAATTTTGGCTCAGAAAATACGTTTATAAAAATATATTGAAGACTTTTGAAGTGTTTGTAACCCCTCATGATATTTACACAGATTTTATTCTGCGTGACATGGGGCAGTTCAACGTTTGAAAACTTCGTTTGTTTGAAATTTTGTTTGAAAACTCTTTATAGCTTTAGTTCCTAATTTTTTTTAGAACACCTCATATTTTATCTGTCTAATTTTATTTGAGTCTATAATTTTCAAAAGAATCCATGTCCAAGATAATTAACGCATGTTGATTTTTTGTCTTGGTGCTTTGTTCAGACTTGACTCAGGAATGCTTAAAATACTGTATACAGTATTACTAAGAATCAGCATTTTTGAAAGTTTTACTTTTTAGTAATCCTTTTTTGAATTGATACCACGGTATTAAATTTAATCCAAATTTTACCGAAGCGTAGTAAATTTATTGCTGTTAATTATTTTGTATCCGGAAGTAATTTGTATCTTTGCCTAAAATGGCAGCCCAACTGCGGGGTCATTAATTGCATTGCATGAATGTATGCATGAACTCCGGTGACTGAATTTCATGTACTTTTTGTGAAAGGAAAAATATTATTCCTTTCATGTGTTTTTTTAAATTTTACTTTAATCATTCACGACAATCCAGTGTATTACGCTGTGTTATAATTTGTATGATAACGGAATTTGTTCATTTTTGCGCGTTGCAGTCATGTGGTGGTGCAGATTGTTGATGCGAGGAACCCGTTGCTGTTTCGCTGCAAAGACTTGGAACGCTACGTTAAAGAAGTGGATTCCAAGAAACAAAACGTTATCCTCGTGAACAAGGCCGATTTTCTAACCAGAAAGCAGCGAGACGCTTGGGCTAACTATTTTGCGGAACAAGGCTTGAAAGCCATTTTCTTTTCCGCCACGAAGGACGTGGAGGAAGACCAGGTTTGTAATTCAGCTGCCTTCCGCTTTTGTTGATACCTAGAATTTATTTTCCTTTTTTTGGTATGTCAAGTTAGTGTTTAAATTATGAGGCTAATTAAAAGTGTGCCTGTTTGAAGATAGTTTAGAGATGAATCCCCATGGTGAACGCGACTTTAAAAGTTTAAAGGTCGCATATCATACAACTGTTCAAACTTAAGTTAAAATTTCTGCTAACAAAAAACTCGTGACGTTATTAAAAAACAAACTTATATGTCATTTATACATATCAACATACATATATATTTGATATTACATTTTGTTTCAACAAAAATATGCAGTAATCGATCAACTTTCACAAAAAAATGATGAAAATGTTCTTCATCTCGGCTATTTTTTGTAAAGTTGAAATTTCTTGAAGAAAAGATTGCATTTGGAAGAAAGTATCCCCAACATTTTTTATGGTACTGTACTATATTTCAAAAGGTAGGACAGTACAGAATTACCTTTGTAATTAAAATTGCCAGTCTTCCAAAAATTTCATCAGTTCCTTATGCAGAAGAATAAATTCAGCGATAGAGTGAAAAATAGTTCGTGTTGTTACTGTGTGAATTTCTGGTGTGCGAAACCTGTGTAAGAATTGGCATCAATATGAAAATTGCCGAAGAGGATAGTTACATTTTCTTCCAACTTCATGGTTCATCTGCTTGAAAAAATGTTGGTGATATTGTTGATACAGTACTATATTATGAATTGAAGGATGACGCGGTTGTGCATCAACCTGGGTCTTTGGGTCTTGATGCCTACATGAACGAACTGGGTGAAAATGAAAGCAGATTACCCGTGGTGGCTGATGAAAAAGAAGAGGAAGACCACAAGAGTGTTTCCAGCGATGACGAGGAAGCTCCTGGTTTGGTTGAAGCAGTGAGTCGTCATTCATGTCTCTCTCTCTTTATTTTTTTTAAGGCAACTTTTAACTGAAGAGCTGTGGTTTGGACAAAGTTTATTCCGGAATTTCGCCCGTATTTGAATGATTTCAAGTGGAAATAATTGAGGGAAAGATTCACCCTCGACCTGATTTCTTTCTGTTTTCCGGTGATGAATATTGGATGTTTTAAATTCGAAGCGCTTCTTTTTAGAACGGTTGAAAGCTGACGTTGTACAGAAAGTTTCAAGAGAATGAAAAGGGATTTAATCGATGCTTCAGACTCGACAACCTTGTGAGAAGAAAAACTTATTTTGGGTTATTTTCTGTCCGTCATGCTGAAGTTGTCATGAATGTCCAATACTTCCTCAAATATATGCTTGAATTCAACGGAATCCTGGGAAAATTGGCCTAAGCTTTCGATATGACTTCTTCAGGGTTTATGAGGATCCGCATTTTCAAAAATTGTGTGAGAAATAATCAGGAATTTCGACTCCAAAAATTTACGATTCGGTTCTTATTTTCCAACGCAACGTATTCAATTCTGTGAATTAAAAACTTATTTTGTGCTATTTTCTGTCGGTGATGTTGAAGTTGTCGTGAATGTCCAATACTTCCCCAAAAATATGTCTGAATTCAACGGAATCCTGGGAAAATTGTCCCAAGCTTTCGTCATAACTCCTTCAGGGTTTTTTAAGGATCGCATTTTCAAAAATTGTGTGAGAAAAAAAATCTGGAATTTTGACTCGAAAAATTTAACGCACGAATCGGATCTTATTTTCCAACGCAACGCATTCAATTCTGTGAATTAAAAACTTATTTTGTGCTATTTTCTGTCGGTGATGTTGAAGTTGTCGTGAATGTCCAATACTTCCCCAAAAATATGTTTGAATTCAACGGAATCTTCGTAAAGCCCGGGGAAAATTGGCCCAAGCTTTCGTCATAACTCCTTCAGGGTTTTTGAGGATCCGCATTCTCAAAAATTGAGTGGAAAAAATAATCAGGAATTTTGACTCGAAAAGTTAAACACACGAATCTGTTCTTATTTTCCCAACGCAACGCAACGCATTCAATTCTGTGAATCACCCCAAAAGCGGACTGATGGCGTAGGTGCAGCCAGTCTGTTGAGTTTTGACAAACAGTCCAGTGTTGATTTTCTTGTCTGAAAAAACCTTTTCTCCTTGTGTCACAACTGCTGAGGTAGGGACATTTGCACGAGTCAGAAGCCAGGCGTATTCAATCTTGAACAAGAAGAAGTTGATGCAGGAATACACTGCAGCGTAATTGTCGTAGTCGGTGTCCAGCACTTTGTATGTTCCGTACACCGGAGCTGCAATTGAAAATCACAAAAAATATATATTGCATGTGAAAGCCAGTGAGTTTTAATACTGAAGTCTTCAATTAATCTCCAACGAAGAGATTTGATTTAATTATTATTGGTATTTGTTGCTAGCGTCTCTTTCAAATAAAATTTCTCCCGAATTCTGCAAAAATTAAAATTCCATTCTGGAATTTTAATTTTTTTTTTCGAATGACCTTTTGATGTCTTGGATTTTTCTTTGATTTTCCAAACTGAATTCTTTCTGAAAACTTGACGAAAAGGAACACTTACAGCCCGGGAACTTGACTTTCAGAACACCCGGTTGCCAAGACTGGATAGCAGTTCCGATGATGATATCATCCGCATTGTCTTTTCGTCCAGCGTTCGTCACGTTGACTCGGAATTTCCCGTTTTGATCATCTGCGTGATGGAATAAGCGTTTATGATAATTTTGGAAAGAAATCTCCGATGACCCGGAAAATACTCGCCCAATCTGGTGTAATAAGCTTGCACGCAAGACAAGCCTTCTTCGAATGAAACTGGAAACCTTTGGTACTCGTACCACAGCCCGGCGTACTAAAGGATATAAATTCATGAGCTGATTTGAAAGTTTTGGTGACCCAAGAAAAGTACCTCGGAAAATAAAATTTTTCTTTTTCAATTTCGAACTTTTATTGCCCGGGAAATGTCGTGTTTGTGTGTGTTTATAAAATGCGCGATAATATTATAATAATATTATAATCGCGCGATTATAATAAGCGCGAAGTATAAAATGAATACTTTAAATTTCTGTAGAATATTCGTGTTCTGTTGAAGGTTTGCTGAAAATTTTGTGGAATAATTTGTCAATGATTTTTCTCTCGAAATCGTCAGGTGTGGACATGCATTGATTTACCTGGTAAAATTTTTATGTCGGAAGAAAGTTCCTCGGAAAATCAATTTTTGTTTATTTCGAAAGTTTTCTGTTCGTATTTTAATTTTGTATCATTGTGGTTTTGAGTTGAAGCGAACTTTTGTTGCTCGGGAAATGTCGTGTGTGTGTTCTAAATTAACAACCGATCGCAAATTATTGAAAGAACCCCGTTTCTAAACTAATTTCAAAATACAATCGCCAGCTTGTCGTGAGAAAAACGCGGGGAGCAGGAAATGAATAATTTTTAATATCTGGAGAATGTTCGTGTTCTGTTGAAGGTTTGCTGAAAATTGTCGGAAAGAATTTGTCAGTGATTTTTCTCTGTACATTCCTTAATATTTTGGAAAGAATTTGTCAGTGGAATTTTTTTGTACATTCTAAATACTTGGGAAAGAATTCGTCAGTGATTTTTCGCTGTACGTTTCTAAATATCTTTGAAAGAATTTGTCAGTGATTTTTCGCTGTACATTTCTAGATATTTTGAATGAATTCGTCTGTGATTTTTCGCTGTACATTTCTTAATAGTTTTTTTTTTTTAAAGAAATCGTCAGTGATTTTCCTCTCGAAATCGTCAGGTGGACATGAATTGATTGATTGATTTACCTGATTAATGTCTAAATCCGACTTCACAGAAGGTTTGACGCAAGGGCCGAACGTGACTGTATTCGTTCCGCCGTGGACCACATTCAGAAGATAGCCAATCGCGAGAAGAATCACGAACATTTTCGTTGTTGTTGAATATCTCTCTTCGAATTCCAATTGCGTTAATAAAGTACTAATCACTGCTCAGCTATCGACAATTCAACCAAGACTGAGCCTTGCGTTGCCAAGTTTCTAACGTTTTGTTGAATACTTCGCGACGATCACCCCCTCGATGGAGTTTTTCGAAGTTATATAACTTGCTTTGTGGGAGGGGGAGTTTTAGTAATGTACAGTACAGTACATTGGGGTTCGCGACGTGGAAACTTATTTGTTCTCTGACGCGAAAGACACGTAGTCTACAACGTGACGAAAAAAAAGATTACTGAACGCACGTCGTGTTTTGTTCGCGATGACAAGGGAAAGGAAAAAAGTTTTTTTTTATTTCGCGGCATTGCGTCGAATGTTGAGGATTTTTTAAAAAACAATTTTGCTAGCGATTTCTATCGTTGTTTTGCTTTGATATTCTGTTCATACTTCGTTTGGTTGAGCTGAAGAAAAAGTCAGACTTTGGAACGAAATTCGCGTTTATGTTGCACCAGAAAACAAAAATGATACGACCTCTGGTGATTCAATTTCCAGGGCAACTTCGAAGTTGCTCGCGAGATACTCTAAACCTTGGGTTTTTTTTTTTCAAAATTGAACGTATGAGGGAATTATTCCCAAGTTCGTGATCATGAAGAATGTAAGAGAATGTTCTAAATTTTGTCAAAACCCTGTTTTAGAACGTCGTTATTCTTATTCGCAGTAATATGTAATTTCTGTCGATGTTGATGAGATTTTCGTATGATAAATCCAATATTTTTTAATGCTCTTATTTAGCATATTGAAAAAAAAAAATGGTTGGATGTCCTTGTACTATTTTCTCTCTCGTAATTGGTCGAACTTTTTTCAAAGCCGATCCCCTGTAGAATAATATAAAATTCGAAATTGGATTAAATTAATGGTTGTTACCAGCTCTGTACTTGTAATTGGCTTTGGAATCAAGGACAAAATGGATTCTGAAGCACGACGGGGATTTTTGCGTGTCAATTAAAAAAAAGTTCCGCGTAATTTTCAGAGATACAGGAATTATCTTTGAAGTATTCATCGGAAGTTCCGGCGAAAAGTTGACGATTTCTTATCAAATCCCCAAAAAGTTATGCCTAGATCTGATTCAGTTTTTCGTGGTTAAAGAAAAAAATAACGAAGTGAATTAATATTTCTGGTTTAGGGATGTACGATCACGAACTCGTTTCGAACTCGGTACGAGGTTAAATTCGTTCCGGCGGAAGTCGAATGTTTAATTCTTCCCCATTTCTCTGTGAGGAAAATCAACCCCTGTCACGAACACGTAGAATAAATTTCAAATAAAATCAGGAAACGGGGAATTTATTTACTGCAAATGGATTTTATCGTATGATCAATTGCGAACTTTTCCCATTTTCAATGGAAGAAGTCTATTTTTTAATGGCTGAAATGAGTTCTTGTTTTACTTTGATTCTTCGTGTAATTAATGCTTTTGTGTTTTAATGATTTTATGCATTTCTCTCCGAGGAAAGTCAGCCCCAGTCAAGAGCATATGAAATATATTTTAAGAAGAAGCAGGAAACGGGGTATTTGGATTTGTAAGTAGGTGGAAGTTCTCGTATGATCGATTGTGGGCTTTCTTCATTGGAAGAGGAAAATTTTGGCTGCGATTGAACCCATTCCATTTTAGCTAGCATTCTTAATTTTTCATTATTTACTGCTGAAGTTCCCATTTTATTTGGATTTGTCGTCTAATAAATCTTCTTTTATTTCACTCTAGACAGAAATAAGCAAGAAATGGATCAGTTCTTCACCTGATCATCGCTTTCTCAAATTTCTGGAAAGAACGTCAGAAGTTTATGAATTTCAAAGTCTTTCGCGTCAGTTCTTCACCTGATGATCGCTTTTCTCCAACTCATCTGTCGGGTCGTGCCGATCGTAGCGTCTTCGAAAAAACTCAAGTGGCAGGCACAGACCGGCATAGCGGAAGTGCCCGCTACCTTCCCGGTTGACCATGAGAATGGCAAACCGGGTTTTCAATGTAATCTGCTCTAATCCTCGCCGAACTCTTCGAGGAAGCCAGCGGTGCCCAGAGACTGGTCACTCGCTGACTTTGCCTGCTGCCGAAAGGACCTCCCCAGAGGACTCTTGTAGTGTGCTGTTTGCTTAATCGATTCCTTGCTTGAACTGTGTGTGTGTGTTTATGAGAAGTCTTTTGACTTGAGGATTTGTCTGACTGTTCGCCGAGTTCGTTTTGTGTTGAGAAATTAAGCCTTAAGGTTTAAAGGGACCTTAATAAGGAGGATCCGGCCTCATAAAGGCTGATTGCTGTGTTCAATATTTTTCCACCCACTTTGTTGAATTCCGGCCCAACATCATCGTCGCTTTTTCCAAATTTCAGGGAAGACCGTCAGAAAATGCATTACTTTCAATATTGTATTTCTTTTCGCACCAGCCTGTCCGTGACACCAACAGTTCGGGTCACCCGGAAGTCGATGCGATGCGGATCTACAGTGACCCAACAGCCATCACAAAAACCATCCTTTCCCGTGCCAAGCAAACCCGAGAAGAGAGCGGGCTCGATTCATCTGACCTAACCCAAGACCTCGTTGCTCCAAACGCCGAACTCCCTGTTGTGATAGACGAAGTAGGCGATGAGGAAGACGGGGATTGGGAAGATATGGGATCAGAAGAAGAAGAAGATGATGATGATGCTATGGACGAATGTGTGGACGACGAAGGCGTCGTGGCTCTGAACGAAGACGAGATTGCGGAGATCATTTCTCTGGGTAGTGGTGGAGAACCGCCGAGTGACTCGGATGATGATGACGATGTGGAAAACGGTGTTGTTGCAATGAGGGAAGAAGATATAGCTGAGATCATTCCGTTGGATGACGGGGATGAACCTCCTACGTCTTCTGATGATGAAGATTACGACGTTGATGAAGAAGATGATGATGACGAGGAGGAGGAGGATAAAAAGGAATACCTTGCTAGAAGTGAGTATCACTTGTATGAAATTGATGCGTTATTCAGACGATGATTCATTATAATATCGATTATTTGCAACTTTCTCACTTTTAAATACAGTATTACATTTTCTTGAATTCCTTTTTGTGACTAGTGCGACAAGAAAAGAGGGATGAAGTGAAGCGGAGAGTGAAGCTGATGTACGAGCGAAAAGTGAAGGCAGCCGCACAGAAAGATGAAGAAAATATCAAAGTTGTCAACTATGGACGGTGTTTAGATCGCGAGGAATTGGTCAAGTTTTTTGAGAACTGTCAGAAGCTTGTTTCTGAGAATCAACCCGGAAAAAAATCTGCTGTCACCATAGGTGAGCTTGAGTAAAAGTTTTGTTTAAAACTTCAATACAGGGATTTTCTGCGCTGAAACTCCAGCATCTTTTTTTGTCAAGCACAAAAAGGATCACGCGAGTTTTGATGGAAAGAAAAGGTACACGGATTCCTGAAAAATTCGTGGGAGTTGAATATGAAATGATGCTAGCGTTTCAAAATCCGTTTGAAAGTTCCAGTGCTATAAAATTTCAAACGAAGTAATATTACTGAATTTCGTTGCAATTCTTCTCATCCAGGTTGAAAGCATCGAGTTTAACCGACCTTTCATTCGTCATGCTTACAATTTTTTTCAGTTATCCGTAAATAGTTGAAGTTCCACTGAGTATTCCTTAAAAACAGAAGTGAAATTCACTTCTGGGTTAGGTATTAAGAACACCTGTCAGATGTATTTTTGATGCTTTAGTCAATTTTGGCGTTTGTTGTGACGAATATGAAGATTCATCGAATATTTTGTCGAGCGTTCGAGAAGTTTACCGAGTTGAAAACATAATTGAAAACAATTACTTCCGTAAAATGGGGTCAAAAGTTTTTTCGATGTTTCATCAATTTTGGTGTTGGTGGTTGTGTCAAAGGTTTTGACGTGTGTTTTAGAATTTTTCCGAATCAGAGGTACAGTACAATTGAAAGTAGATTCCCTCTGATATATATCTGTCAGAAGATTTTTAATGTTTCAGTCAATTTTTGTGTTAGTGGTAATGAGTATGAGGATTCACTCAAGCTTTTGGCGAGCGTTCGAGTTTTCCAAGTGAGAGATACGATAAAAAATGTTGTAGATCCCTTTAAAAATTATTTTTCTTGATAATTATTCCGGAGTTTTTCGAAAGATCTTCCTGGAGCAGTAAAATTGTGACGATTGTTTTCGCAAATATATCCATCAGTTGTAAATTTGTTCTTAATCCAGGCGAGGGCTCTCAATTAGTTGACGCGGATAGAAGATTTCTTTCGGAATCTAGGAAGTCCATTGAATTATTTCAAGGAACTGGTGAAATGTTTGAACGAGATCCCGCACTTCCTGGTACAGTACTGTACTAGCTTTTAGCCGACTGTATTTTTTACGCCTATTAACGAGAATGATGATCAAAATTATTTTCTTTTCTCTTCGGAAAAGGTCTCGTCGGTTATCCGAACGTGGGAAAAAGCTCAACCATCAACAGCCTTCTCATGTCGAAGAAAGTATCGGTTTCCACGACACCAGGCAAAACGAAGCATTTCCAGACCATCTTCCTCAATCCCAACGTGATTCTCTGCGATTGTCCGGGCCTCGTCATGCCTTCCTTTTTGAGCACCAAGGCAGAAATGATTGTCTCCGGCATTCTGCCGATTGATCAGTTGAGAGACCACGTGCCTGCCATCAACATGGTCTTGTCTGTGGTGCCCAGGAATATTTTGGAAAAGACCTACGGAGTGGTGCTACCGAAACCGGAGGAAACGGAAGATCCGAATCGACCCCCAACTTCCGAGGAGTTTCTCAATGCCTATGGATGTGAGTCATTGAGAAATTTCAATCTTGTTTTTTTTTTTTTTATGCGCGACGATAATTAATATTGGAAATGAAACGGAAACCGTGAAAAATTGAAGTCGTATGGGCTGTTGGAAAACTGGATTGTGTCGTATTCGACTGGGTTTTGAAATGCGTGTTACTTGAAAGTAAGAACTTTCTACTGAACTATGTGTTTCTCAATGCCTATGGATGTGAGTCGTTGAGAAATTACAATATTTTTTTTGAATGCGTGACGATAATTAATATCGGAAATGAAACGGAAACCGTGAAAAATTGAAGTCGAATGGTCTGTTGGAAAAGTGGATTGTATCGTATTCGACTGGGTTTTGAATGCGTGTCACTTGAAAGTAAGTACTTTCTACGGAACCATGTTATTTTAAGTTGTTGGATTACAGGAGAAAACCTGAACACTTATCGACAAGATTGGATCTACGATCGAATGGAAAACTGGGTTTTGAATGCGTGTCACTTGAAAGTAAGTACTTTCTACGGAACCATGTTATTTTAAGTTGTTGGATTACAGGAGAAAACCTGAACACTTATCGACAAGATTGGATCTACGATCGAATGGAAAGAACTGGTTATCAGACAGGATTGTCTGGTCTGGTGACACGATGTTTCCTTGATGATCGGCTAGTAATGCAATCCTAAGCTTCCAGTGCGTTTTCGAAAGAAAATCCTTCGTGCATGTGTCAACCGATGGTTACGAAAATTCGGACACCAAATTTTTCTTTTTCTTTTTCTTGTCCACCTAAGTTGGAAAATGATCTTTGAGAAATCGAATATTCGTACTTTGTTTAAATGACGATTCTAAGTACAGTAAATGGAATCAGAAGTGTAATGGTTTTCAAATTTTGTCGAATAAAAAAACTCTTTGATCATCCGATTGACTTCACGAGCATGTATTTAATGCTTATTGACGTGAGTACTGTATAGCAAGTTCATGAACATTTCAAGCTATTACAGGTAACTCTTGTCAAGTTTCTGTTTTAAAATGTTTCTCGCGGTGATGACTAAAGAAACTGAAGATCAGGTTCAAGGGAAAGTTTTTCGTGAATCGTTTATCCCATATTTGCATGTAATTTTCTTCATGGGTCATCTACTTTTTCGAAACGCAAGTTTTCCGATGACCTCAGTTTTGTGTGTAGTTTAAAAACATGAAACGAATGAAGATTGAAAGTGAATGGGATAAAATTGACTAAAGGTAGTCTATTTTCTCCAAAGTTAAGTTTTTCGGGTGTCCTCCCGAAAACTGAGCAAGATTAAAGGGCTATAAAATGAATTGAAGTGTTGTTTGGACCATTACTCCCTTGCTGAGAAATATCGTACTATACAAATGCATGGTGTATTTTCAAATGTCTGATTCTGATTTGCTTAATTTTCAATCTCTGCAGTTTTAGCACCTATGTACTGTGTTGTGCCCTACGGACTGTTACGAGCTCGGCGTGCTATGCAAGATTTTCTAAAGCAGTTACCGTTCGAAAACATAACGGTAGGTGGGGGACTAACGCTGTTCCTGTTGATTGAAGCGGACACGAAACGGCTTTTCGGAAGTAAGGGAGAGGAGAAACAGACGAGAACCGATGCTCATCTTCCTGCTACTTACAAGAAGATGGTCAAGGTTTGAGAACTTCGAACTAAAGACACAACTTTGAAGCGGACACGAAACGGCTTTTCGGAAGTAAGGGAGAGGAGAAACAGACGAGAACCGATGCTCATCTTCCTGCTACTTACAAGAAGATGGTCAAGGTTTGAGAACTTCGAACTAAAGACGACCTTTTTTTGCTGACGGATGAAGAATTGACGATATTTTTTTGAATTTTTTTTTAACAGGGTTCGCAAGGCGGTCCTAGTGTACGGGACGTGGACGCCGCCTTTTTCGGTCCCCCGGGTTCCGCAGCCCATAAAAAGGGAACGTCATTGGTTAAAATATCGTCGGGTTCATCAAAGGAAATGTAAGAATTACAACGTACATGGATTTCGATTGCATTGTATTAATTCAAAATGGATGTAATTTTTGGCTTGAAACCTTTTGCTGATCGCCAACTTGGAATGCAATAATGTCATAGGTACTCGCATGTGACGGATTTTTCTACCCTCAGGTGTCGAATTTCATTTATATCAGTTCTGTTTAATTTAGGCAACTACAAAAAGCGACTGAATTTCAACGTAAGAGTATTTTTATAAATTCAACTAGGGCTAACACAATTTCCCAACTAGGTTAGGTTGGATGAAATCCTCTGTTGATAATGCTAACTAAAAATTTTCTAATTTTTTAAAGAAAAAATCATGTTTGTTTTCAGATAGAAAATTCCACTTTCCTGTAAATGCCATAAATACCTGATATTTGCCCAGAAAATTTTCTTTCTGGAAAAGTTGGGAAAGTATTAAAAGGTAGTCAATAGGTAGTAGGTAGTCGAAACATACGCTTTCGTCCCTATTTTTACGTTATTTTTCCCGTTTTGAACGATTTATGAGCATTCCATTTTGATCGGATTTCTTTCTATTAGTTTTTTGCTCACCTAAAAACTTAATTTTCAAGGTTCAAACTTGAAAATGTGTTGAATTAAGTTGGAAGCCCGAGACATTAATGGGATAAACTGAAATTCAGTAACTGAAAGCAGCTCGAATATGTTCATTTTTTCATGTGTTTCTTCTAGTTTTCTGGAGCAGGTAATCTTGTTATCGATGTTGAAATTTTGTATGATGTGTACCTTTTAATAGCACAAATTTCGAGTATGTGAATGATCTCGGATCAAGCTTTCGTTTAGCATACTTTCTGTCATCTCTTTCTGTTCAGAATCGACCTCCCAGAAGGCAAACCGTGGAAGAAACACGGAAATCACAAGAAGCGGGAAAAGCTGCGAAGAGTTTACGGTCATTTGGATGCCTAATTCTTGTGCCTTTTGTAGCTCTGATCTTGCCTTGAAGGGCAAAATGAACGATCGTGTGATGGGGATTTTTTTTTCTTGGAATTTGTTTTCACTTGTTCTGTTACCAGTACGTTCTAAATTTTGATGCGCAACGAGGGGAAAAAATTGAAGGACTTTTTACTGCCGTAATTCCTTNCTGGGTTTTGAATGCGTGTCACTTGAAAGTAAGTACTTTCTACGGAACCATGTTATTTTAAGTTGTTGGATTACAGGAGAAAACCTGAACACTTATCGACAAGATTGGATCTACGATCGAATGGAAATAACTGGTCATCAGACAGGATTGTCTGGTCTGGTGACACGATGTTTCCTTGATAATCGGCTAGTAATGCAATCCTAAGCTTCCAGTGCGTTTTCGAAAGAAAATCCTTCGTGCAGTAAACGCAGTTTGTGTCAACCGATGGTTAAGAAAATTCGGACACCAACATTTTTTTTTCTCTTTTTCGTGTCCACCGAAGTAGGAAAATAATCTTTGAACAATCGAATTTTCGTACCTTGTGTGAATGACGATTCAAAGTACAGTAAATGGAAATCAGAAGTGTAATGGTTTTCAAATTTTGTCGAATAAAAACTCTATGATCATCCGATTGACTTCACGAGCATGTATTTTATGCTTATTGATGTGAGTATAGCAAGTTTATGATCATTTCAAGTTATTACAGGTAACTCTTGTCAAGTTTCTGTTCGAAAATGTTTTCTGTGGTGATGACTATAGAAACTGGAGATCAGGTTCAAGGGAAAGTTTTTCGTGAATCGTTTATCCCATATTTGCATTTAATTTTCTTCATGGGTCATCTACTTTTTCGAAACGTAAGTTTTTCGATGACCTCAGTTTCGTATGTAGTTTGAAAACATGAAACGAATGAAGATAGAAAGTGAATGGGATAAAATTGACTAAAGGTAGTCTATTTTCTCGAAAAATAAGTTTTTCGGGTGTCTTCCCGAAAACTGAGCAAGATTAAAGGGCATTAAAATGAATTGAAGTGTTGTTTGGACCATTACTCAGTTTCGAATATTTCGCCTTGCTGAGAAATATCGTACTTTACAAATGCATGGTGTATTTTAAAATGTCTGATTCTGATTTGCTTGATTTTCAATCCCTGCAGTCAATCGTGGATACATGACACAACACGGGATGCCTGACAATGCTCGAGCCGCACGATACGTTCTAAAAGATTTCGTCAATGGCAAGCTTTTGTATTGCCATCCACCCCCTGATTGCGACAAGGACAACTTTGAAGCGGACACGAAACGGCTTTTCGGAAGTAAGGGAGAGGAGAAACAGACGAGAACCGATGCTCATCTTCCTGCTACTTACAAGAAGATGGTCAAGGTTTGAGAACTTCGAACTAAAGACAACCTTTTTTTGCTGACGGATGAAGAATTGACGATATTTTTTTGAATTTTTTTGAACAGGGTTCGCAAGGCGGTCCTAGTGTGCGGGACGTGGACGCCGCCTTTTTCGGTCCCCCGGGTTCCGCAGCCCATAAAAAGGGAACGTCATTGGTTAAAATATCGTCGGGTTCATCGAAAGAAATGTAAGAATTTCAACATGTATGGATTTCGATTGCATTATATTCATTCGAAATGGATGTAATTTTTGGCTTAAAACCTTTTGCTGATCGCCAACTTGGAATGCAATAATGTCATAGGTACTCGCATGTGACGGATTTTTCTACCCTCTGGTGTCGAATTTCATTTAGATCAGTTCTGTTAAATTTAAGCAACGACAAAAAGCGACTGAATTTCAACGTAAGAGTATTTTTATAAATTCAACTAGGGCTAACACAATTTCCCAACTAGGTTAGGTTGGATGAAAATCCTCTGTTGATAATGCTAACTAAAAATTTTCTAATTTTTTAAAGAAAAATCATGTTTGTTTCAGATAGAAAATTCCACACTTTCCTGTAAATGCCATAAATACCTGATATTTGCCCAGAAAATTTTCTTTCTGGAGAAGTTGGGAAAGTATTGGAAGGTAGTCAATAGGTAGTAGGTAGTCGAAACATACGCTTTCGTCCCTATTTTTATGTTATTTTTCCCGTTTTAAACGATTTATGAGCATTCCATTTTTGAATGGATTTCGTTTCATTAGTTTGTGCTCACATAAAAACTTAATTTTCAAGGTCCAAACTTGAAAATGTGTTGAATTAAGTTAGAAGCCCGAGAGACATTAATGGTATGAACTGAAATTCAGTAACTGAAAGCAGCTCGAATATGCACTTTATTTATTTTTTGTGCGTATCATGTTTCTTCTAGTTTTCTGGCGCAGGTAATCTTTTTATCGATGTTGAAATTTTCATGTGTACCTCTTACTGTGATAGCATAAATTTCGAGTATGTGAATGATCTCGGATCAAGCTTTCGTTTAGCATACTTTCTGTCATCTCTTTCTGTTCAGAATCGACCTCCCAGAAGGCAAACCGTGGAAGAAACACGGAAATCACAAGAAGCGGGAAAAGCTGCGAAGAGTTTACGGTCATTTGGATGCCTAATTCTTGTGCCTTTTGTAGCTCTGATCTTGCCTTGAAGGGCAAAATGAACGATCGTGTGATGGGGATTTTTTTTT